CCAATTCTACATCACTTGGCAGAAACCCACTGTATTCCTTCAGCCATTTCTGCTCAGCTGAAGGTTAGTCTTTCTTTGCAACTGGATTTTGAAACCGTAGCATCAAACTATAAGTGTCTCTTTCTTTTCTTTTTGGCAACTTCTGAGTGACTGTCCATTAACAGCAATCTCTTGCTATACACCTTTTTAAAACTCTTTTTTTCCCCTGCTTTCCAAATGAGATTTAGGATTCCTAAAAATATAGACAGGGCAGTCAGTGTTGGCATGGATAGCAGTTTATTTGCTTGAAGTTGTGGTTTAGTGCCTAAGATAGCTCTAGAGTATTTTTGTCAACGTCCAGGCAGGCTTTAGGCCTATTAATGTAGAAGAAGGTTTGGTCACATAAGCAATGGGGTAGGTCCTGAAAGAAGGAGGCCTAGGGTGGTGAGAGATACGCATGAGGATGGGAAGAGACAGACACTAACAAGGAGCCGTAGGCTTAAAGATAACACACAGTTTCAATCTCTGGATGTCTCTGGTTGCCTGAGAGTTGACATGTTTGGGAACCATTGTGTAGCTCATTAAAGCAAGTCTGAAATGATGGGATCACTATTCCATGAATGTCTTTTATGATTGTTCTTATTTCAGAGATACTGTTCTCATTTTTTCAAGTTTTTAAATCAAATTTGCAAAAATATCTGTAACTACATAAGCAAGGGAGTATATTAATTTTATTGAAGTCTAAATGAATCGTGCTAGAATAGAGTGAATAACAATAATGGATTTATTAAGCATAAAAGAGATGTGTCTTAGAAGCATAGAAATGAAGCTTTCTTGACACTTTGATCCTTTCTTTTTACTTTTAATTTCTCTGACTTTTGTTGAAGGAATAATCTTCTCACATATTTCCATTCATCCCTTTCTTGACCTTTCAGTAATTGATTAGTATATGCTCATAATTGTCTTCCTCAAATTAAATCTATCTTTAGTGTATATAATAATCGTCATACAATTGTGGAGGTTGTTTTGGTTATTATGGTAATCACAAGATCCTCCCTAAGCTGGGTGAAATTTGTCCAAAAATTATGCTAAAATTTGATATGCTCCCTTCTAAGAATGATCCCTTCTGTGTCCCAGCCTCTCTTAGTAATTGACAGTTAATTCAAGTGGTAAGTGATGCAGTTAAGTCAGTGTATTACATGGAATTTCTGTTTCAGAATTCCAGTACCCTTCAGAAGGACAGTGCTATACATAGTTGGCACACACAAGGAATGAGATTCATTTCTCACAAGATAGTTGGCATAGTACAAACACTAAGTGGAACTGGGCGTAGATTAAAATGAAGTTGTTGTCTCATAAATGGAAGCCTAGATGTCGCCTACATATGTGGGCCATTGCAACAGCACATCCAGGGAAACCAGGACCTGTCGTAGAGATGGAAGGAGAATGATGAAAACCAGAGGTTTGTGAAGATCGGCATCTTCACTTTGTTCCAAGGCCACTGGTGTCATTTAAAATGTTCTACCAGTCTGTGTGCTGCACTTGTAGTGACAGACTGATGGACTATTTTCCTTCCACCTCTTAAATGTCATTATTAAAGACAGACTTAGGTGAATATAAATAGAAAAATGAAGGCGGGACCAATTTGAAGCCTTAAAGATGATCAGAAATGCATTCCCATGAGGATAATTTAGACAGACCAGTCTAAGACAAATGGTCACTTATATAAGGAAGACATTAGGAAAAATTAATGCTGGATATCATTATTAATGGGTGTTAAAAAATCTAAAAAATAAATATTGTTAATAAGGAGATGAATAGATTCAACTTCATTTAATGAGCAAACAAAATGAAATGACCAGAGAACATGGCTACTTCAGAGACTCCGTGTCACTGTGTTATCTGCTGTAATGAGCACTCGTATGAGTTCAAGCCGTTACAAATAATTATCTGACTATAGATTTTTTAAAAATTGTTTAATTCTAAATACATCAGTTTATTTTTGTCTGTATAAGTATAATTTTATTGTGGATTTTCATGAACTGTAGGAAAGATTAGCCTTTTTCAAAGACTAATTTGGGATAATGAAAACATATTTGTTTGTAGGAAATAGTACATACAATTTGAGCACGGGGATTCTGCTTTTTTATCACTGTCACCTTAAAGGATTGTATAGTGGGTGGCATATAACAGACATTTAATGAGTATTTACTAAATTTAAGAGTCCTTGAATAAATGTATCTGTGGTTAGTTAAAATAGCATTGTTCAATCTTAACCGGTTTTTGAAATCATTAAATATTCATTCATGATTTTAATTTTTATATTATGAAAATAACATTTTTCTGTTAAAATGTAAAAATTGTATGAAATATTTAAAAAGTTATTTTCAAAATTCTACTTTCAGGCTGTGATGTGTGTCCTAAGGGACTGTAGCTCCTCTAATCAGTTGAGACTCATTCTGTTTCATTGTGGTTTAGTGTATTATGTTTACATAGCTATTCAAGCTTAATGGCTTAAAAAGGACTCACTATTTATTATACTTGTGAATCCATAACTTATGCAGTGCTAAGAAAGCATGAATTATTTGTAGTTTATGTGATAGCAGTTGAGATGACTTGAAAGGACCTAGAAATGTGCTTCATTGGCTCAGCCAAAGAGCTGGTGCGCAGAGCTTGAGACCACTGCATGAGCCAGAGGTAATGTTAGTGAGGACACACGTATATCTCACTGGAGGCTCAGGTTTTTGCCTGGTACCTGCGCAGGTCTAGAAGCTCTGTTTGTGGGCATTTGCCTGGATTCAGGGGCTGTTGGGATCTGCCTAGTGTTTGGCTTCACTGGATGCTGAGTTTAAGGGAAAGTCCTGTGCTTACTTCCCTGTCCTACCCTGCATCTCTGCACACTGTGCTTTCTGAGATTAGGGAGGACTTGTGGAGGCAAGTCTTTTAAGTACCAGGCTAGTGGGTGCCAAGGTTCTGTATGTGGGGACTGCCGTGGACCTTGCAGGACTTGGTTTACCATGGCAGGCCTTGTCCCACCTTCCAAATATAAGATCTGGATTCAATTCTCTCTTCCTCCCCCGGTGGGAGGAGTCTTTCTCCACACTGCAGTGCTTGGAGTTTAGGGATGGATGTCCCAGGAAGCTCTCTCTTTTTGCCTTCTTCAGTGTCTCTTTATTACTGTACTAACTACAGGTATTGTGATCACTCACCTGATTTCCTTAGCTCTTGAGAAGGTAGTATTATGCCTGAATAGCTGTTCAAATGTATGTTTTTGTTAGAGACGGCACACTACCTCCATTTGCTCCATTTCTGTTTGGAAATGTGTTAAGCTAAAAGGCATTTAGCAAATTTAGTATGATTTCAAGCATCTTAGGGAGACAAACAGGTTAAACATTTTTAAAAAATAGGGAGTTCTATGGTATTGGTTAACAATTCTCAAAAACTGGAAAGTAGGATCTACTCTAAAACACAATTAAGGCATTATTTCCTCCTAAATATTCATTGTTTTAAAAACATAAACTCTCTTCATTTCCCTTTTCTGAAATCATGAAATTCTGTCTTTATTAGATATTTCTTCTATTCTTAGTTTGTTCACATTATTTTTATGTTGTTCTTTCTTGATACTATGATGGAATAAGCATGTAAAATCTGTGGTGGTGACATCCACTTTTTGTTTTTAAGTATGAATATTTAAACATTTAAACATCTAATTGAAAACTGTTAATACTATATTTCTACTCAGGTTTAGTCAAGTATCATCCAGTTTAACAAGTGTTGTTTATACACCGTCATCAAAATCCTTAAAGAATAGCAGAAAATCTGGTTAAATGTTTATAAAAATGACTGCTGTGAAATTGAAATTTGTTATACTCAGAGAAAAACGACTGTTCTTGGAAAAACCAAAGATTTCCCCAAAATGCTATATTAAGGATCTTAAGTTGCTTCACCAGCATGATTTTTATATCACTTACATCAATGGAATTTGCTTAATGAAACTGCAAAACCAAACAACCCATACTCTGTTGAGCAGAGTCATTTTTCAAATGCTTGGAGGAGGCAGGATGAAAATGATCACTGCGTGATATTCCACTTATTTGTAAAATGCTTAGAGAATGGCCATGGTGACTAAACACTGTGTTTGCTGAAGATCAAACTGACCTTGTCTTCAAAAGAGCTCCCTGAAAATAAAGAATTTAAACAAGAGGAGTAGGCTAGGTTGGAGGTGGCCTGTGATAGTAGTTTGGAGATGTCTCCAGTTTGGACTGAACTCAAGTTCTTTTAAAAAGTTTTGCTGCACCAGATCAGTTTAGTAACCTAAACAGGTCCAGAGAAAGGCTTGGTAAACTATAGTGCAGAAGGAGCACTAGTCATCCCCATTCATAATGCCTTGTAGATAAATAACAGTGGTCATCAAGCTGTCTTTATAACCAATGGGATTAAAAAACATATACTCACTGTAAAACTGAAATGAAATTAACAACTCCAGGCACTTCAAAAGTTTTATTTCAGTTTGTCATTCCATCTGTCCATACACTTTTACAAAAGGAGTACTTTAATTTGCCTCTACTCCCTCTAATGTTCTGTCAAATGTATTTATAAGGAAGGGAGTATTCCAAAGCTGGAAGCAGTAAGCAGTCAGAAGGAGCATCCGTTTCAAAGCTAGATCATCAATCCCTAGGAAATTTTAAATAGATTAGGCATTATTGGGACAATAAGGCTGGAGAACAACTTCAATTATAAAGGGCAGAATTTCTTGGGCACAATTATAACCTTGGATCATCTGATTTTTTATGAACCACTGTTACAGTCTGTGTGGTTGATGCATGTGAGTAGTTATGTTTATCACACTGAAGAGAACAGTCCTTGGGCAACTACTGTACACTGGGCACTCAGCTCAGGACTTAATAGGCATTGTATAAGTTGACAAATGTCTCTGTCGAATTCTTCAGTGATTTAGTGAATGCCATAGTATTTTTTCCCTAGGAACACTTGTTTTATTTTCATCATCTCTTCTCTTCCAGCTCTTCTTTATGCAACTATTTTTGGAAATGTTACCACAATTTTCCAGCAAATGTATGCCAACACTAACCGGTACCATGAGATGCTGAACAATGTTCGGGACTTTCTGAAACTCTATCAGGTCCCCAAAGGCCTCAGTGAGCGAGTCATGGATTATATTGTCTCAACGTGGTCCATGTCAAAAGGCATCGACACGGAGAAGGTAGGAGTTGTTGTTATTTTTATTATTATTATTTTTTCTGTTTGAATTGGATCTTTAGATATACGCAACTCTCCTACATACATGTTGCTTGTACAATCGCTTTATAAATGTTACTTTGTAAGTGACAGTTCAAGCAATCATATTGATTGAGTGCTCCAAAGGTGTAAAGCACTCAGCCAGTAATCATCAATTAGTATTAGTCATAATACTCAATTTAGGAAATTCAGTTCCTGCAAACAGCTAATTATTCCATTTCCCTAAAACTCTCTCATTACCACTCACTGTAATTTGTTGCATTTCACTTAAACCCTGAGAGTGTTGTTTCTCCTGATGATTTTATTCTTGATTTCTCCTTCCACTTTTTGTCTGTTTAAAAATTAGAAATGTCCCTGGTGTAAAAGAAAAATGTAAGTATTTCCCTTCTGTCCTCCACTTAAAGTTCTCCTCTTTCTCACATGTTTAATAAAGTAACTTTTAACTCGTTATTTTCCTTATGCATTTCACTGTGAAGGAAACTTCCCTCTCCAGTTATCCAACATCCCTAATTCTTCCTTCATTGTTTTATGAAACTGCTTTTCAGTTTTTTCCTTATCTTTTCTTTGGGCAAAGGACAGACACAACATCTCCCTATAATGAACAATGACAAATAATAAAAAAAAAAAAACTCCCTTCTTGCTTCTAGTGGGTCCACATCAACAAAAAGTATGACTGCTTGCACACATTGTTTTAAAGAAAACCAGTCTTCAGTTTTTAACTTTATAAGTATCAGTGGAATCTGTTCTTTTTAGACACTGATTTTTTAAATGCATGATCTCTAAATAGCCTCCCTTTACATCTGCCGCAAATTTATTTTGTTCATCCTAATGAAGTTGACTTGGGTCTTTTTTCTCTTTTTTTTTTCTTAGACTTGCTCAACAAGCCATGCATTTTTTAATTTCAAGGAAAACAGCAAATACCAGAGTGCATGTTTAGCTAGAGATGTTTCACACAACAAGAAGCAGTTTTACACCAGAGCAGGTGCTGTTAAGCTCAGATGGTTGGCGGAAAGTGAAGGGAATGAATATAGAACGTAGGACTTGAGGAGGAAAAGCCTTCAGAGGGAGTAGATTTGAGATTTTTAAGGTTAGTTCCATGGGAGAATTGTGAGACAGGATTATATTGGCTCCTTTTTCTACACATTACCAGATGCAGTATAAATTTTCTAGTTAAATGGCCCCTTCAGTGGTACTGATAGCCACGGATGAAAAAACCCACAAACTATGTTTCTATGAAATTTGATTAATACGTATCTGAGCCAATATATGGCATGAGCAATATGTAAAGAAGAATAGAACCTCCATTAAGTGAAAGTGAGGGTGGGAGTTTAAGTCATCAAATGCAGGATATCGGTTGAAGTCCACATTGAACCGAGCCCAGGAGGCAGTCACTGGCCTTGTTGATCTCTATCAGTAAGATGCTTTTCTCTCCAGGAAGTGAAATGAGTCCTTTGGTAGCTAACAGAGAGCCTCAGCAAAATGATGTAACAATGGCCTTTGATATATTAGAAAAGAGCTTAGCCACGGTCTGTGCCGCGTGCGGATTTCCGAGTCTCTGTTCTCTATATTCCCTGATGCTGTGTTGCTTCAGAATGGAGCTGACTAATTTCCGTCTAAGCCAGTCAGATTTAAAGTCTAGAGCTATTTAAAATATTAAATTGCATAGGTTTTGAGAAGAAAAGAATCATGGATGTGTCTCCTCAGGGAGAAATCCTGACTTTTGTTGTTTTGCTTACTGAAAAGCTTTTTATTAACACCTAATGATTGCATGTATGTATAGAGGACAGTGTGCTATTTCAGTACACCTATACAATGTGTACTAATCAAATCGAGATAATTAGCATTTTACCTCGTTATAATTTTTACATTTAGGATCTTCGAGAGCCTCTCTTCTAGTTCTGCATACAATATAAAATAGGTTTTTGTGAAATATCTCGTACCCCATGCTGTATGAAACAGTAGGATTTGTTCCCTCTAACTAACTGTACAAATGATGATAGACACTTCTCATAAGAAGAACTATAAATGGCCAGTAAAATACGAAAAACCGCTCAAAATCATTAGTTGCCAGGGAAATGTAAATCAAAGCTATAGTGAAATATCACCGTACCTTGGAATGCCAGTTATAAAAATGATAAAGTAACAAGTGCCTCTGAGGATGTGGAGAAAAGCAAACCCTTAGACATTGTTGGAGGAAATGTAAATAGTACGGCTATCATGGAGAACAGTATGGAGATCCTCTACTCTAGGGCACAGCTGTCTCACTTCTGAGTTTCTATGCAGTGAAAAGGGCTCAGTATGTCAGAGAAGTGCCTGCATTCCCATATTTATTGCGGCAGTCATCATAAAAGCTCAGATATGGAGTCAGCCTTGGTGTCCATCAACAGGTAAATGGCTAAAGAAAGTGAGGTGTAAACACACAATGGGCTATTACTCAACCACAGACACACAAAATGAAATCCTGTCATGTGCAGCAAAATGGATGGGATTTGAGGACATTATGTTAAGTGAAATAAGCCACGTTCACAGAGACAGATACCACTTGCTTTCTCTTGAAAGCTAAAAAAGTTAATTTGAGTGTTGAATAAGGACTAGTATAGGATGGAAAATGTATGTGTAGAGGTGGTGGCTGGTTAGAAGACAGTTGGATAAAGGCACCAAAACAGAGGTTTTTTTTTTTTTTTGACCAATAGGAAAAATACTGTATATTTAAGTAACTGTGAGACATATAAAAATTTTATCCTTATAGGACTTAATTTCTTACACTCTGTTAAGAAAACCTCCACTCGGATGCATAATAAACCAGGGTAGCAGTGCTGTAAATGAAAAGAAGGAAGAAAAGACATGTGAAATTCTTCAAAGGAACTATAGGGATTTCCAGTAATTATATCCTCAGTGAGACTGAATTTAAAAATGCTTCTGAGGCCACACACCATATGCTGCGCTGAACAAGAAAAAACAAAAACTGGCATCCATTTCTACCGTTCAGTAGAGAACATAATAGCAAAGCCAAAGACTCATATGGCTGGTAGGTATTCAGCTAACAAATAAATAGTGTATATAGCATATAACTTCAACATATAATAAATAAAATAAATAAAATGTTAAATAATTAATAACCTAAGCACAAAGAGTGAATAGATAACAAAGAAATAGATGTCACTATAAATGAGTATAAGCTGAGGAACAAATTGCATGTCTCTATAGAATAATATAGAATGAATTAAAAATCTAAGAAAATATTTATGACAGTCTTGCCTCCTGGACGAACACAAATATCAGAAGAATGACCAGCCAAACAAGCAGTGTGAGATGAAGATATGAGGGAATATTAAAGTTCAATTGTACATGTTAAAATAAGGTTATGCATAACAGTGTAACTGAAAGAAAGATTTGGCTAAAAAATATAAAACATCTCATTCTAAAAAACCATAAAAACAAAAATGAGACAAAACATTTGCAACACATATCACCAGTGAAGAATTAATTATATTAATATGTAAAATGATGTTAGAAGTCAGTAAGAAATAGAATATGTTAGGAGAAAAATGCTCCAAAGACATAGATAATTTATGGTACACAAAAGCATAAGTCACTAATGAATATATAAAAAGAGTTAAAAAAGGAAACCATTTTTAATGTGAACTGGACAAACATAATGCCCAGTATTAGTGAGGGCGCTAGTGAGTGGCTCTACGGCAGTGGTGGCGAACCTATGGCACATATTCCACAGCGAGCTCTTTGTATCATTGAAAGCTCTAAAATGTTTGCCATCACTGCTCTGTGGTATCATTCTGATTCAGGAATCTGTGTAAATAGGTAGAGCATTTCCTGAAAACAATTTGACTAGGAAATAGCATGCATTTGGGAGTATCCAAGAGCTTAGTTCTGTGTCTCTCCCCTTTTCTCTCTTCATTCCTTCAGTGGCATAATTTAATTTTATGACTTTAAGGATATATGGTAACAACAGCCATATAAATACTCATCTTGGATCTGTTTCTTGAACTCTAAACTCTCCTGTCCATCTGCCTCATCCTGTGCAATGAAACTGTCCAAAATTAAGTCCTAGTTAGGATCTGGCTTAACACACTTTACTTAAATGTGTTTCTTATTGCATATTTAGTTGATGGTTTCTTTCAAATGTTACCTAGTCCTGTCTCATAAAATCTTGTTCTCCAGACTTCATACCCCAGAGCAATTGATAGAAACATCACCCTTCACCCTACACTTAAATCTTCATAAGATATTTTTGTTTCCACCTCCAGTCCTCAGCACCTTCATTGCCTTCACCTGATCTACGTCATCATCATATACTATGAGTTGTGGAACAGATGGCTGACTGGTGTTTTTCTTCTACTTTTGTTTCTTTAGAATTTATTGTCAGCAGCCAGTGAACACATGCAGCTTTTGCAACTAAGCTTTTGCATCGGCCAGGTTTCTGTCACTGTGACAGAATTTTGGAGGAAAAAAATACTTAGGGCTTAGGTTAATTGAGAGTTCAGTCCGTAGTAAGCCAGCTCCATTGCTCTGGGACACTGGCAAGGCAGAAACATCACAGAGGAAAGGGGTGGCAGAGGAAAGTTGCTCTCATTATAACCAGGGAAAAGAGAGAGGGAAAAGAAGGGACTGGGGACAAGACGTAACCTTCCAAGTTATGCCACCAGTGACCTACTTCTCCCAGATAGGCCAGCACCATACTCTGGGGACCAAATGTAACACTCTTGGGAGACATCTGCGATCCAAATTATTACAGCTTTCCATCGATCTGTTGGTGTGTCTAATCAATCATGTATTTATCTGTGGTTTAGGCATTTGATAAGAGCCAAAATGACATGGACTGTTAAATATGTGTGGACGTGACAAAATGAAACATCGATGACAGTAATCATACAAGTTCTATAATTGTAGGCACAATCTTAGAATTATGAATGTGCTGTACTTTTAGATACGGCTCGAGTAAAGAAT